GCTAGGGAAACTGCGCTCGTGCCGACGTTTCGTAGCCCCGTGGAGCCCGATCACGCCGACACTGTAGCGCAGCGAAACGGGACTCCGATACCCTGATTACATCCGAATTTACCGCGGCGTCCCCTCCATTCCGATAAGAGGGGTGTGGTGCCGAAAAAGTGCCAAGATCGTTGGCGGTATGTAAATCGTAAGGGCCGTTAGATTCGGTGTTCTGCGCGACGGTCGTGATGCGTGATATGTTACCGGATAAAACTTGCGAAGTGGCAGGGCGCGTTTTAAACGAAACGTCGTCTAAAACACTGCGCCCTGTGTGGATCTGTTGTAGGCTGGAGGGGCGGACTAATTCCCTCCTAGCCGATTGCCGTTTCCCGATACCGACGGTCTGTTTGGGCACTGGCGGTGCCAGTGTCGCTCGCCGCAATATCGGCACGGGGTAGGCGGTGCGTCCGCGTGTGCATAACCCGCTCGCTGTCGGGCTGCTGGTTGCGCGGTATGCCGCGGATGCAGATCGGCTGGCTGTCGGGACGCTGGCGGAGCGTACCGAGGAGCCGCGGTTTTGTCTACGTCGTGCGCTATTTCACGTAGATCGGCGAAAGACGCTGGGTGCATTAACCGTATCATAGCGCGGTAATCGTCCCGTAAAAGCCCCGTTAACTGTCGCACAAGTTGTTGTTCTGGTNTTTTTTTGATAGTGATTTTAATCACTGTCAGATATCATTATACTTGATCCAACTATGCCACGTCACCACTGTGCCGCGACCCCCCTGTCCTGGGTTTTGTTACTTGTTTCTCACTAATTTTTATTAATGATGTTTATGATGACTGTTATATAAATTTTGGGCTTTGCCTGTATAAAATGTTATAAATAAATAAATATATATATATATATTGTAAAATGTTTTCCAGCACTTTTCATTCAATTCCTGTTAGATTTTGACCGTTTTCCTCGAATAGCAACTTAATATGAGAAAGGTTTTTTTCATTGTACTTTTTATACATTTTCGAGGACACCAAACATTTTTTAACGCGCATAATTATACTTAACTAAGTATTATAAATAATTAGGATCATTTATTACAGGTTGAGGATTAAAAAAAAAACTTTTATTTATAATATAATATTTATTTCTATCCTTGTAACACTAACAATATTAGACAAAAAATTAGACCAACATATAAAATGTGGATAACAAATAACTAGATCAGACTAGCAACATCAAGAAAAAAAATTAAACTTTACATATAAAATATAAAAATAATTAAATTAGACTAGTATCATCAGAAAAATTTTCAAAACATTTATAACAGTACTTAGTTATCCTCTCATGCTCTTTGCATTTTGAACGGGAACTCATTGTCTTTTTGTCCTTTTTTCGATCGCATAAGTTGCACCGTTTATATTTTGTAGAACCTGTCAGAGACTGCTCTGTTGCAGAAGGAGCTGCTATACCCAAAACCTTCTGAAGGCCATCCCTAAGTGTCCTAGGAAACCTCTCATTATTGATTCGTTGTTTCATAAAAGATTCTGTGAGTTGAAATGCAAGATTTTTCAAAAAACTGACTCGATTGTAACGCGCCATCTCTTTTCTTTAGCAAATATAAAACATAGCTTTTATAACCAGATGTATCTAAAATGCCGAAAAAATAACGCATTGGCCAACGTCTCGATTTCCTTTTAGTCTTGTATGAGTGACATAACTTATCAAAAACATATACACCTCCTTTAGACAAATTGTAAA